CTGAAACCTCTCTGAAGGGGCCAGGTTCTGGCGCTGGTCCCTGGTAGGTCTGAACTCCTTAGCTAATGTCCCGGTCTAACATAACATACATTAGCCCGATAAGCTCCAGGGAGCCGTAGGGGCTCCCCACAGAAAACAAGCCCGTTTAGGCCCAGGAACATTTACGAGGTAGTGTGCAGCCAGGAAGCTGTTCGACCGCCAAAACCCCCATGCCCGAATGTCAGCCCAAGACATGTTACCAAAGACGGCAGCAAGCGCAGCAAACTTACGAAAGTCATGGGCATGGGGATAAACCGCAAGCTGCCTGGGCCAAATAACCCTGAGGATGACCTGAGAGATCCAAATCCTGGAACAAGGAAGAAGGGAAACCGGATCAACCTAAAGCGCGACCCTGGCCAGAGAGGCCATAGCGCGCAAATAACAGCAGAAAGCCGCAACTGGACACAACACATGATGCACCCCCTGGCGGTTTCATTCTTTGCCAGAAAAGAAAGAGATGGCTGCAACCGAACAAACCTATCACCTTGACTAAAAGAGCAGAAAGAGCTCTCCTCCCTGCACTGGAAGAGAGCATGAAGCTCCCCGACCTGACCCCCAGAGGCCAATGCCAACAAGAAAAAGAACTTTGAAAAAACAATCCTGAACTGAAGGGGCTACCACAAACTGAGGAGGAGAGAGATAAGAGAGAACCTGATCCAAAGACCAGGACGGCTCAAGCGATGCATGAGCAGGCCAGAGGTGAAACAATGCATGAGCAGGCCAGAGGTGAAACAATGCATGAGACAGCTTGCAAAATGGAGCAAAAGTAACTTCAATACCGAACACAAGCTACAGCGGCTCTGCCAACACCACACGATACGAGGAGACAGTATTTGGCATAAGATGATGGTCCTGAAACAACCATGAAAGAAAGAACAAAACAACCTTAACCGAAACAATGGTTGTACTCTTCAAGTCACTTGTGTTGTCCCGTCTTGAGTACTGCTCAGTACTCACTTCCCCCTTCAGAGCAGGAGAGATTGCTGAAATAGAGGGAATACAGAGAACATATACGGCACGCATAGACGCAATAAAGCACCTAAATTATTGGGATCGTCTCAAAGCCCTCCAAATGTACTCACTAGAAAGAAGACGAGAGAGATATCAAATAATATACACCTGGAAGATACTGGAGGGCCAAGTACCAAATCTACACAGTAAAATAACAACGTACTGGAGTGAACGACATGGAAGAAAATGTAGAATAGAACCAGTGAAGAGCAGAGGTGCCATAGGCACAATCAGAGAACACTGTATAAACATCAGAGGTCCGCGGTTGTTCAACGTCCTCCCAGCAAGCATAAGAAATATTGCCGGAACAACCGTGGACATTTTCAAGAGGAAACTAGATTTATTCCTGCAAGGAGTGCCGGACCAACCGGGCTGTGGTGGGTACGTGGGCCTGCGGGCCGCTCCAAGCAACAGCCTGGTGGACCAAACTCTCACAAGTCGAGCCTGGCCTCGGGCCGGGCTTGGGGAGTAGAAGAACTCCCAGAACCCCATCAACCAGGTATCAACCAGGTAACCAGGAAAGCAAAGTATAACGAAGAGACAAAAAGAATCGGAAGGACCGCCAGGAAACTCATACTGCAACCGAGACGAAGCCCGCAGGTGGGATACCATCAAAGAAGCCACCTGATCACCATACAGATGGTGACAGACTCGAGTCAAAAAGACCAGATGCGAAGACTCGAGCAGAATATCGAACCACTCTCGTAATGGACTGGACCAAACCGATCTGCTGAAAAAGGCGGAGCCGCAGAGAAACCTCAGTGTTTGGACACTGAGCAAACAGCGCCTGAAACCACGGCTGGGCCGGCCACCATGAGGCCAAGAGGACAACTTCCCTGGTAAGTCTCCAAGCATGCTAAGACCTGAAGCAACAGCGGAACTGGAGGGAAGAGGTACAGGAACCCCCACCTTCACCAGTCCTGCTGGAAGGAATCGATCCCGACGGCCTCGCAGTCGGGAAAGGGCGCCACATATACCGGAAGATGCCTCGACTATGCTGAAGCAAAGAGGTCCACCTCTGGGCGCCCAAACGTCTGGTAGAGCCAACTGAATGAGTCGGCGTCAACCGTCCATTCCGTGGACAGGAGAATGAACCAGGACAGGCCATCCGCCAGGACATTGGACACCCCCTGGATGTGAACGAGCCAAACCCCAAGAGCTCAGCAGACGAGTCACCCGAAGCCACCAGCCCCAAAGCGCCAAGGACTGCATCGAACCCCCTTGGTTCAGGCAATGAACCACCAGGAAGCAGTCCAAATGGATCCGGATTGTCGATCCGCGGGTGACCCTAACCCTCTAAAGCGAATACCCCACCGCCGCAAACTCCCGCACCGTGCTGTGGGCCCGACTGAAGGATGGACCCCACCGCCCCTGGCCAGTCTAGTGAGCACTGGTTACAAAGCCCCAGCTCAGAGACGACGTGTTTGTGAACACATTGAGCGAGGGCTTGGGTAGGTGCCAAGGAACTGAACCCTGAAGAGGAAGCCGGCGACGTTGCAGCTGACGCAAGGACCCCAGGGGTCGAACCCAGCGATCGCGAGAGAGGTGGAAGGGAAGGGACATCCCCGAAAAAAACAGAAGAGCCGACGAAGCCAAACCTGACCCGGCGGGTAGACCATCGTCGCAAAGTTCAGGCTCCCACACAACCCCTCGAGCAACCGCCGGGTGACCCGGGAGCCACAGAAACAAGCACATTCGGGACCGCAGCAGAAGGAGAGACTCTGGAGGGAGAGACAAGGAGTGACACTCCTTGTAGCAAAAAGCCCCACTCTGAGGGTTGGAAAACCCAGGTGGGGTCCACTGGGGCCCATGGCCCCCAAGTCAGCCTCTCCCGAACCCCGGGAACCTTCACAAAAGGCCCCAGGGACGAGTCATCCTCCAAAGCCCTGGCCTCACAAGAAAAAGCATGGGCAGCTGAAGAAACAGGAAGGAAGGGGGCCCACTTGTCAGACCCTGTTGCCACACCTGGAGGAACCAACTCGAAGGCCTCTGTTGCCACCCCGGAAGGGGCAACACCCCGAAACTGCCCGAGTCTCAGAATCCTCTAAACCCTGTCCCAACACCAAAGCCCTCAGATGCTTCAGAACCAAAAGCAAGGGGATGGGGGGGGGGGGCCAGAATGAACCACAGAAGGGGAAGAACGAGGGGGTGCAGACTGAACCAAGGTCGAAGCGACCAACACCCCCTAAGTCTGGGTCCCTGTAAGCAAAGCAGGGCAGCCGTGGGGCATCCGGGGTAGCAACCAACCTAGCACGTTACAGCAACCTATACCTAGCATGCAACACCTGAGCCGCCTGGACCCGAATAATGTAATCAGTTGATTGGATGAATTGAGTTACAAACAAGCAACAATGCTCGCAGGACTCTGGGTCGAAGGTGTCACCAACCCAACAGGCAGCATGAAGGAGGCAAAAACAATGAGCGTCACCATGAGACAAGGGGACAGAGCAACCCTCAACCTTGCACAAGACAAGAGGGGACCCAGGGGTCGCATCCATTGGACCCCTTGTGCACCCGCAGGGTTTCCCAGGGCCCTTAGACTGTTACTACTAAGGGTAAGCCCTGGAGGGGTACTGCTAACCAGCACCCAAGTCCACCAAACGAATTTCTAAAACTGAGCCCCCCAGGACATGTCCACTCACGGGGGCCACTCACAGAGGGTACCACCGAACACAGGAGGTCAAGACCCTACTATAACTGGGGGTAGGGGAACAAGAGCAGACCAGGCAGAAACAAAAATGAAAAGAAAATCCCCACAAGAGGACAACGTACCCAGGAGGAACAGACGGCCACTGTAATAGGTGAAAACTACCTTTGCAGTACCCCACTCCCTTACCATTGCAAAACTACCACTTACCCCAAGGTAAATAAGGGAGAAGGAAACCCCCCAACACTGCCATAAATCCTAAGCACATGCAGTCTGAGTACCTGTGAATATTACTCCCAAGGCACAGCACATCACAGAAAGAATCAGGAGCTGGGGGCCACACAACCGAGCCACAATCACATCAGCCGAGAACTGACAGGTGGATAGCCGGCGCAATAGATCTGGGGCTCTTCCTTCCCCCTCCCGGGGAGGGGGGAGCTGTGCAAAACATGCGGCGCGGCTCGAGTGACGTCATGCTCGTTTGCTTGTTTTCATTTGGGGAGTTCTGTCCATTCGTTTGTCTATTTTAGTCGTTTTAACCAGAATAGGAATTTGTTTTGGGGTGCTTACCTTTCTGGGTGCCTGGCCCGGTCGATTGCAGACATAGGTTACCTACCTTGAGGTGATTTCGAGGCTTAGCGACCCCGCGGCCCGGTTGTCCACCTGGCCTCCTGGTCCTAGAATGCCCCAAATCCCATGTGAATTTCTATAGGCCATTGCTCCTCGTTCCTCTCTAAGGAGAGCCAGGTTCTGGCCGTGGTCCCCGGTAGGTCTAGAACTCCATTCACACTGACTGATGCCAAAGTGTAATGATATACATATCAGCCTGGATAGGTCCGGGGAGCTGTAGGGGCTTCCCCAGAAACCCAGCATTGAATATAAAGAAATGGAATTTTCTGGGTAAGCCCCAGAGGCTCCCTGAAGCTATCCAAACTGATATGTGCTATATTAGTTTAGGGTCATCAGTCACGGGAGTTCTTATGCCTACCGGGGACCACGAGCTAGAACCTGGCCCCCTCAGAGAGGTGCAGGGAGCAATAGCCTATGAGCACTTTACATTTAGAGTACGTAATAATTACCATCGACCGGGACAAGACCCAGAAAGGTGGACGATGGCAATTATGACATACAGTACTTTAAATCTAAAGTGCTCATAGACCATTGGTTCCTGTGCCTCTCTGAGGGGGGGCCAGGTTCTGGCTAATAGTTCCCGGTAGGCATAAGGACCCCAAACTAATATAGCACATATTAGTTCGGATAGCTTCAGGGAGCCGATGGGGCTCCCCCACAGAAATATACATACCTGAAGCAAGCAAACCTTTTTTGTCGTTCTGGATGTTGATTATTATTGCCACTTGAATCACCAATGCTAAAATCACCCATAATTTGTTCCTCCTTCTCTCTGGAAGATTAATTATTAATATAAGAGGGTACAGAGGTTACAGCCATAACAGAGTATTCAGAAGCAGCAATTCATGCTAATTATTACTTTGGCTGGAAAGAAATGTAGTTTATACAATATAGAAAGGGAAATGATAAAATACGCACTTTACAGTTCTATTCAATAATATCATGAACAGTATGGTAATGAGTAATTGGCAAAATATTATACAAATGAAACATTAGGATTGTATATTGTCTGCATGCTTCTTAATTTAACACTTTCGCGCTATCAGGACTCACCGGTGAGTCCTGTTTCGTCTAACGCTACCGCATAGTGGACATAAAGTTATGTCCTCTTTTAAAATATTTGTATAAAATTCAATTTTTATCCGATTTACTTTGGGTTTGTTTCAAACTGCGCGCCATGAGGCTCTCTTTCTCACCACTAGGCTGCATGGTACAATAAGTTCATGAAAGGTGTGGATAACTTCGATCAAATGGTATTATGTCCCAAACGGGTTGCAGGTGGGTGACTTTAGCCGTTTATACTGGTAATGCTTCCCCCATATCATGTATTATATGCATATGTCTGTTTAGGGAATTTTATTCCGATCAATGTACAACCAAAAATAACTGTGTGCAACAAGTATAAACTTGACAAACATAACAAAAGTAAAAACATTTCGTGTGTGTTTGACGCTCACTGATATGTTCCAGCGTTGTTTTATATTTGGCGCTATTCTAACTTACGCTTTGTTGATCTTTTTTACCTATGGGCTCAAAGAACATTCTATTGCGAACACATTGACACAAAAATGAATGACGTACATAGAAAATTAATGTCATGAGAGTGAAATAAGTATAAACTTTCAAAGCGCCGTGCGTCGTCCCGTCACCGATATCGGGTAACAATTTCACCACTTCCCACACTCTTGCGGGCGGGCCGCATCATTATTCTACGCTTATATTCATATCACCGTGTTGGGAATTTCATTGCGAGTCCATTGATACCAAAATTAACGCTGTAGAACAAGTGTGGAGGTGATAACAATCCCAAGAGTAAAAACATTTTGTTCCTGTTGGGCGCTCACGGCGAGTCATCTTCGTAGTTATTTATTTGGTGCTGGTATCCCTATACGTTTCGTGACTTTTTTACTGATGTTCTTCTAGAGAATTTTATTGCGAACACGTTGGTACCAAAATGAAATACGTAGCTCGAGAACTAAGGTCATGAGAGTAAAAAGAGTATACACATTTTTGTTTTTACGCTTACGCGGCAAAACGCAGTGAGCACTTACGGTTGGCTGACTGACCTTCGCGTAGAGCGCGAAAGTGTTAATTATAATGAAGTACTGAATGTAATAAAGTGCCCTTTTCTGGAGAGCTCTCAGGAGGTCCTTGCGGCTTCTGGTGCTCTAATGTTGCCTAGTTTGGAAAAGTTCCCCAGGCCTCTGAGATGCTCACACACCTACCAAGACCCAGGACCAGAATCTGGCTCTCTACAAGACGAGAGAACTGTGGACATCAGAGATAAATCCAAAACCAAGAAAAAACACAACATATTTGTTTATTGCAAACAAATACTGTAACACTAATCTATTTGCACTTGACTATCATCAGATGAGTCCAGGTCACCCAGAGCCCCAAACCAATTATCGACCTCACTTGTGAGTTGCCCGATCTGAACCCCCAGCACCTCCATGGGAAAAAAGGATCAGCCTGGGAATAGGGAGCTACTGAGGGCCCACAACTAAAGGACATTTCGCTATATTCAATGCTTGATTACCGAGAGGAACCCCCTCAGAAGCTCTACATAGCTCATTTCCAATGGTGTCTCGGCAGAAGGCCCTACAGTATTTTCTGAAAAAGAACATAAAAATAGTAGCAATGGAAAAAAGTAGAGCGCTTATCAGTGGAAGGTGCCTAGACACACTCAGATGTCTCCCAACCTCCACTGACCACCAGACCTGGGCAAGTGTTAAAAGTGCCCCAGCAGCAGAGCAGCAAGTTGCAGACCCAGAAGAGAATGCACCTGGGTGACTGGTGCACCAGAGCCTCAACCTCAACCAGAACTATGAGGAACTCGGGCATTGAACCAGCTACAAGAAGAAATGCAGCCACCGACCACAACCGAAAGACCTGAAAGGACACACCCGCCAGCGCCAAAACCTGAATAACATATCCTCCAGGAAAATAAGGGAAGAAAGTAAGGTAACAAACAGCTGGGAGAGCAGCAAAGCAGTCTCCTAAAGACAATCCAAAATGGCTAGCCAGCAGACAATGAAGACAGTATGTCACCATGTCTTGCAGGAGCAGAGTGAACAGTTGATAATATCATCTGCAGCTGCAGCAGCAGACAACAATGCAAAGAAAGAATCCTCAGTTGAGGAATCTAGATCAACTCACAGCCGAACACACATCTGCGCTGCACATGAACAAAGCAGCTAAACGAAATTGACAAAAGCCTTGTGATTTACCATAATTAATGCTGGTCAACTTTGGCATCTGGACATGAGCTACCAACCCCGATATCACAGGGAAGAACAGAAGCAAACAGCCACAAAAGAACCCTTGAGAAAGACCTGAAAAACCAAGGCAACTGCCTTCTATTCAAGTGCCTGCTTATGACAAAACATATGCCACTAATGCAAGGAAAACAAGGCACTATCTTCCAGCCATGATGCGAGTCCTCATGCTGAAACTGCTTAGGAGCTCAAACCAATGAAGGTGGCTACAAATCTGACCAAACAAAGGACAAGTGTTATCTTGACACAGATCGGCAGAAGCACTGCCCATGTCAAAGACTACAACAGACTATATAACAATGCCCAATCTCATACTGCAAATCACAGCTTCATACACCTTTGCCCACAAAGGCAGCCAAGGTGACTCAAGATTAGTTAACCCCACAGAGGAAGAACCTGAGCCCTACAGAGCAGGTGTCTCTGCTGAGGCAACAAAGGTAAAAGCTGGATATCAAGGAAAGTAAACCTGGCTCACAACTGGAGCAAAATAGACAGCAAGTGCACACAACGTGGGTGTGTAAAACACAGTTGTGAAGCATAAATGAAACAAAATAAAGAACTTGCCCCTCATGGAACTAACATTTCGTGAATAGCCAACATTACTTAGCTGCATGTGTGGAGCAGAGGCTGGGCCCATTTGAGTTATGCAAATGGACACACCAGGCCAGCTGACCAGGTCCTCGGGACACTTGGGCAGTCATCTGGTGGCTGTTGGACACATCACAATTAAGGTAGTTTTTCTGCTCAACAAGCACTTGCTGTGTTTGTTGACAAAATAGTGACCTCAAGGTCATTATTTTCCTCCAAGCAGGTGTTTTTTGCTGCACTTTAACAGCTTTTCTGTCGGCTCCCTTAATCTATCCCTCCCTCTGGTCGGCGGCTTTCATCATTCAAGAGCTAGAGGGTGGATAGCCAGGCTCACCCTAGCTGGCTCCCCCTCCCTCATGGGGGGGGGGGGCTAGTTGAATGAAGTGTTGCTTTTTTTTTTTTAGGGGGTAGTTCTATTGCTATTTTGAGGACGCAGGTCACATTTTTTAACCTGACAGTGGTCTGTTTTGGTTTGCCTAACTTAGTGAGCCCACCTGTGAGGGCTATCTCATTCAGATAGAATGAGAATTAAATGTTTTTTCCTCCTCCTGACCTCTCTCTTGCCTTACGTAATGTGCCTCCCTTGTCTCATCACAATCAACTTGATGATAGTCCAGGACGAACCAAAACGACGTCGTCTCCTTATTTTCTGGTGTGTGGTTTAGTCTTCATATCTTAGGCCACATTATTGTGACTCGTCTGCCTATCATGTTAACATCAGCACTTCTTACATCAATTTCACCTATCAGATTTTCAGAGTACTCTCTCCCACTACAGTAAATATAATTTATTCTTCCCCAGTTATCATTCTTTCTTGACTATCTTTAATATTTCCATGATCATTTTTCCCCCCAGTTTCCTTGTTACACTTTCTTATGTCTTTCCAAAATTGCTTCCTGTTTTCTGTAGTTTTGATTCAACATTCATTCAAGCTCCTCATTCACTCTATTTTCTACTTAAGTAATGTTTTCACACATCTTTTACTCTCATCACATTCCCTTTTTCTTGTCTCTCTTCCTTTCGGTTTACATCCACAGAATTGGCTTCTATTTCTTTTCATCTACTACATTTGTCAGTGGTTCATTCTAGCAAGCACATCCTCACATTACCCTACTAGTATGTGCCACAACAATCATAACTTTTGCATTCCCAACCAAACATTGTTTATGTATCTTCCACATGACGTCATGATGCATCTGGTTACAGTTTTTCTTCAAGATTATTATAACTTTTCCTTTTGAACTCATAAGCCAGCTTAGTCTTTTAACTTTTAAGCATTTATTATTATATAACCATTTTGCATCTTTACAAGGCATCATCCTGGGATTATCTTGTATTATTATGCAGTTGTATCTTGCATAATACTCATGTCATCAGACAAACATCCAGATATTCCCCATACTGCTACTGTATCACATACAGTACAGTACTTCACATTTATTTTCACAAGAATTAATTGTACAAAAATTAGTTTAGTGCTAAGATAAAGCATTATTAAAAAGTTGCTTGTAACAACCGTAAAATAGTTGTTGTACATAAAAATACTGTACACAAAAACAGTCATAAAAAGCATTTGACTACTTACCCAGAGCGCTCGCACTCATCCCATGAATGAATGCCCATCATGATGTCCATTACGCTGATCTTATCAGTAAACCTGGACTTCTTGAATGCCCTAATGAAGAAAAACTATTTCAATTATCATGGAGTGACCACAAAACCGCAACACACAGCATCAACATAACAGCACCAAAGGTTATACTGAACTGGAAAAGTAGAAGTACTGTATGTTATTTAATTAATCATCCTTGAAAAGGCCACAATGTTTCTACCTTGCAAGCATTGTTATACCCAACCCCCTTTTTTTTTTTTGCTTTCTCCTATCACTTTCTGATGTACACTTACTGCACACAACCCAGATTGTTGTTTGGCCACTTCCGCATTACCAAACATCATTCAAAGGTAGTTTGAGTATTTCAAAGTGCTTCTGTGCCAAGTAGTTTTTTAAACACTGGAAGGAAGGGTGAGAGTCCGATTACTTTTGACTCTTGTTAGCAAGTTAGAGTTCTCCCTTCCTACAGTTCATATTAAGCTTTACCCGGGGGTTCACATTAATCCGGTGGACTGTATGGAGAAAACCACCAGAGATGGTTCTTCGGGCAGGAAGACAGACCTAGCATTGTGGAGCGCAACTAGGGTGCAGTGTGGCATGTAGAACACTGCTAAATATCCACTGCATCCTAACCTATCTCCTACTGTCTCGACTTGTCTTGCCGTTGAATCCAGGTAGGCCAGGATGAGAGTGAGGCTGACGATTTGCACAACTCTCTCACTTTAATCTAAGTCGAGTACAAGCTATGACTTCAACCCATACTGCACAACCTCAAGTCCTGTGGGAATGGCGGAGTGGTGAAGTAGCAGGTGCAGATACACTGGAAGCAGTAGTCACAGACCTGCACACAGGCGGCTCAGGGCATAGGGTCACTCTCTACTGGACCGAAGCAGCAGCAGCACCAGGCAGCAGAGATCAGCTGCCCCCTGGGTGAAGCCGACACACTCTGCTCACTTCAATGGAAAAAGAGGCTAGAAAAGGTGCCTTAAACACAGCCTGCTTCAATTCACCCTGGCTAACAAGCAGCGGCTGGCAGGGTTTCCCCCCATCCCCCCACTGAAGTCGAACAAATAAAAAACAGCATTGAATGTAATGAAACCCCATGGTCTCTAGGCGAGATCCGGAGGTTCCCCGGAACTAACCGGGCTGATATGTATGTATTAGACTCTGGCATCAGTCTAAGCAAATGGAGTTCTAGGCCTACCAGGGACCATGAGCCAGAACCTGGACCCCTCAGAGAGGCACGAGGAGCAATGGTCTATAGAAACCCCCCATGTGGTTGGAAGAATTCTATGTCTGTCATCGACCGGGTAAGGCACCCAGAAAAGTAAGCGCCCCAAAACAAACCCCTATCCTGGTTAGGAAATTGCTACTGAAAGCCGAATTAGTGGACAGAACTCCCCAAAAGAAAAACAAATGAGCATGACGTCACTATGTCACTGCACCACTGTCTGTGCAGCTTCCCCCCTCCCCAGGAGGGGGAAAAGGAGAAGCCGCAGACCCCTGTGCCGGCTATCCACACCACCCAGTTCTGAGGCTGGATGTCAAAAACATGCGAAAAACTGCCAAACGGAGGAAAGGGAGGATTGCCGGTAACCTCCGGGTCTCACCCAGAAAATAGCGTTTCATTATATTCAATGCTGTTGTTCTGGGGAAAGTCCCTTCAGCTCCCCGGAGCTACTTACCCAAAGACAGAAACAAGAGGGACTTACCCGGGAGGCGGTCGCCACTTGCTCCTCAACTCGAAGTCGAGGCAACTGGCTACAACTGCCGACCCAATGTGACACATACCCAACTAGGGCCAGGAACATTAACAAGGTAGTGAGCAGCCAGAACTCTGTTTGACCTCCAAAAACCCCCACACCCGAATGTCAGCCCAAGACCCAAGATGTTACCGAAGATGGCAGCCAGCACAGTAAACCTATGAACGTCATGGGCACGGGGATAGACCGCAGGCTGGCTGCTCCGAATAACCCCGAGGACAACCTGAGAGACCCGAACCCTGGAACAGGGAAGGTAAACTGGGTCAACCCAAAGCGCATTCCCGGCCACGGAGGCCATGGTGCGGAGGTAACGTTGGAGAGCCGCGGTCGGAAATATCACATGATGCATCCCCTGGCCGAACCAACCAAGCATCAACAGCCCAAGGACCACTCCCGAAAGCAGCAGTCTCATTCTTTACCAGAAAAGGAGACAGCTGCAAACGAATAAACCTACCACCAGGACCGAAGGAGCAGAAACACCTGCGCCTGAGGAAAACATGAAGCTCCCTGACCTGACCCCAGGAGACCAATGCCAACGAGAAAAGAGCCTTTGAGAAACAATCCTGAACTGAAGGGGCCACCACGAACCGAGGGGAAGAGAGAAAAGAGAGCACCCGATGCAAGGATCAGGATGGCTCAGGCAGCACATGAGCAGGCTGGAGGTGAAACAACGCTCGAGACAGCTTGCGGAATAGTTCAGAAGTTACATCAATGACAAACGCAAACTGGAGCGGCTCCGCCAACAGCACACGATACGAGGCGACGGTATTCGGCATAAGATGACAGTCCTGGAACTACTGTACCACGAGAGGAAGGACAAAACATGGACCGAAGTAAACCGACGAGGAGACAAGAAATACCGGAAGGACCACCAGAAAACTTCATACTGCTGCCAAGACGAAGCACGCAGGTAGGACACCATCAACGAAGTTACCTGCTCACCATATAAGTGGTGATAGCCTTGAGTCAGAAAGACCAGATGCGAAGACTCAAGGAGAAGATTGAACCAGCCTCGTAACAGACTGGTCCGATCTACTGAAAGAGGAAGAGCCGCTGGAAGACCCTCGGGTTTGGACACCAAATAAGCAGCGCCTGAAACCAAGGCTAGGCCAGCCACCAAGGAGCCAAGAGGATATCTAAGCGAGCTAGGACCTGGAGCAACAGCTGAACCAGGGGAAAGATGTACTGTACAGGTAACCCCACCTCGACCAGTCCTGCTGCAAGGCATCGACCCCGACGGCCTTGCAGTCGAGGAAGGGCGCCATATATACCGGAAGATGCCTCGACCACGCCAACGTGAAGAGGTTCACCTCCGGGAACCCGTACGTCCGGCAGCGCCAACTGAAAGAGTCGCCATCAATCGTTCATTCCGTGGACAGGGGAATGAACCGAGACAGGCTGTCTGCCAGGACATTGAACACCCCCCAAATGTGAACAGCCAGGAAAGCGAGACCCGAGAACTCAGCAGACGAGTCACCCGAAGCGACCAGCCCCAAAGAGCCAAGGACTGCATTAAACCCCCTCAGTTCAGGAAATGAACCACCGGGGAGCAGTCCGAATGGAGCCGGATCATCGATCCGCGAGTGACCCGAACCCTCCGAAGTGACATCCACACCTGCCTCAAACTCTCCGCACCGTGCTCTGGGCCCAATGAAAGGACAGGCTGCACTGCCCCTGGCCGGCCTGGTGAGCACTAGTCAAAAATCCCCAGCCAAGAGATGACGTGTCCGTGAACATATCAAGCAAGGGCTCGGGTAGGTGCCAAGGCACTGAACTCCGAAAAACCTGAAGAGGAAGCCGGCAACACAGCATCCGACGCAAGGAACCCGAAGGCCGAACCCAGCGATTGCGAGAGACGGAAGGGATGTCCCCAAAGGAACCAGAACAGCCGACAAAGCCAAACCCGACCCGGCGGGTAGAACATCACAGCAAAGTTCAGGCTCCTGCATAAACCCTCGAGCAACCTGTGGGTGACCCCGGGAGCCTCCCAGAAACAGGCGAAGGCGGAACTGCAGCTGAAGCAGAGACTTCAGAGGGAGAGACTAAGAAGTGGTCTGAGAGTCCCACACAAGACCCACCCAAGACCAAACCTGAGAGGGAACCAGGTGGGACTTCCTCCAGTTCACCAGGAACCCGAACCCGGCGAGCTGGAAAAGAACAAAACCCCTGGCGAGCAGACACGCGGACTGGCAGGGAACCCACACCAATCAGTCGTTGAGATAGGCCAGAACCCGAACCCATAACAGACGCAGTTGGGCCACCATGACACAGGTAAGGCGTGTGAAAACGCAAGGTACCAGATTCAAGCCGAAAGGAACGTAACGAAAGTGGCAACCTTTTCGTCCCACAACAAAACCGAGCCAGTCCCTGAACCCCAGATGAATCGGGATGTGCCAATATGCGTCATGGAGGTCCAGGGACACTATCCAAGCGCCACCCACATATGTCCCAAGTGTGGGCGTGCCTTCCAGACCTGAACTGGTCTCATCCTCCATCATCATAGGGCCCAGTTAGTACAGTTGGGTTCATTCTCGAAACACAATTGAGCATTCCAGGTTCGAAACCCAAACTAGACAGAAATGGTTGGGCGCATTTCCTATCACCTAATGGCCTGTTCACCTAGCAGCAAGTAGGTACCCAGGAGTTAGTCAGCTTGTTGTGAGGTTGCATCCTGTGGAGCTCTGTAATTCAACTTCATTGGGGGGAGATGACCTCAATATAGGCCTAACATTTATAAAAACACTCTGGATGCCTGTCCCCCGACACAATGAATTAGAGTATTATGATTATTATTATTATTATGACACACAAGCAACAGACCTTCGACCTGATATACTATATTGAAGTCATGGTCATCTTCACCTCCAGAGGATGAACATCATTATGCCTTACCCTACAGTATTATAGTAGTTTAATTTAGAGTACAATCTCCAAATTGGTTTATGACCAGGTTCCCAATTACTGATGGTTGAACACAGGTGAAAATGTTTAGGATCAACCCTCCATGCCCAGAGTTTGAGCCCAGGTTGATGTAGCTCTCAAGGAGTGTACAGTAATGACACTAAATGCTATACCACAGGAAGCCATATTCATTCCTCCCCAGTATATTTATATGGTCTTGTAGGTACACTTTACTCTGTGGTACAAATTCATATAAATTTTGCTGTAACTGAAATGATCTTCCGAAGGTGCCAAGGAGTATATACTTCTGATATACCAGGACTATACCTGTACAGTAGTTGGTTCTTTGAGGCAGCAGAAATCATTGGAAATACCTAACATATGTGCACAGAACTTTTCACTACATTGTAAACATACTAAAATAAAAGAGTTACATAAAAACAACACTCGGTGCAAAAAGCTAAAAGACAATTACTGTACCTATAGTTTTCCAATGGCAATAATCTTCCCTGCTGTACACAGTCAAATATGTACTTGCTCCGGAAGGAGTCACCATGCGAGCCGACAACATTCTCCTCTTCTGGTATCAGGCGGATAGTGTGAGGACCAGTGACTTTCGAAGTCAGTTCACCAGCACCTTGCTAAAATGACAAGAAATGTGTTTAAGCATTGATAAAACACAGCAGTTGCCAGAAACCAAAAAAATAAATGACTGATGGTAAAGATGTGGCACCCACATGAAGCAGCTTGCAATACAGGGTAGACCGGTTTATCTTAATATTGTACTGCAAATGAGAAGACAAAATTATAAACAAGATATGTCAACAGTAGTTACTTAAGGGAGATACCCCTGCTTGATACCTGCTTGATGGGGTTCTGGGGTTCTATTTCATATGTTCATATGAACATATGAAATAAAAGCTAACCAAACTCTTGGGATTATCAAGCGTATTTTTGACTACTGTATAAGGAAAAGAAGGTAATGGTTCAACTGTATAAATCTCTGGTGTGCCTCCATTTGGATTACTGTATCCAAGCATGGAGACCTCCTTTTCAAAAGGATATAGCTGCTCTGGAGAAGGTGAAACATCGGGCAACAAAAGTCATTCCATAGTTAAGTCATCTCTCGTATCACTAATGCTTGGAGGCCACAGGGCTAACAACACTGCAAACCAGGCATAACAGGGCGGATCTCATTGAAACTTTTAAAATACTGAATAAATTTGAGGATGTTGATCTGGATATTTTCTTCAGAAGGTCAGATGTAACATAGACAAGGAGCAATGGTTTCAAGCTCAACAAGCCACAATGTAGGACCAAAAACCAGAGATGTTTTTTCACCCACAAGGATATTAACCTATGGAACCGCCTACCCGCCAAAGCCGTAAATGCCAAAACTGTGTTGTTTTAAAATATACCTGGAAAAGATCATCCAAGGCAAACGGGGGGACCTTCGACAAGCCACCAGCTTCCTGTCCTCGTCGAGACCACTAGGGTTAGTAGCCCTCAGGTAAATCAGGTACAGAGTATATAAAAAAAAAAACTGCTGTCCCTTAAGGATGATAAATGCACTTTACAGCAGGTGCTCAGTGACACACAGGCATCCCCTGGGGAGGTGAGAGCCAGTACCTACTCCACACACAAAGCCAACTGGGAGACTGTCTATAAACACCCAATGAACTCAGACGATAATGCATCAGGCATCCAGTGGGTAGCTGAATAAAATCGAAGCCAAACAGCAGAACCACGAATACCTCAATATTCAAAGCCCAAATGGGTAAAATTTACCAACATCTTCAGATGACCTTCAGCAGAGCAATAGCCAGTCACCCACCACACCCCATGGGTACACCAGATCACCAAGACCCACCAACTCATGGCACCTCTCGGCTATACCATGCCAGACACCACTCCCTGCCTGCTTGATTGGGTCCTGGGAGTTCTTCTACTCCCCAAGCCTGGCCTGACTTGTGAGAGTTTGGTCCACCAGACTGTTGCTTGGAGCGGTCTGCAGGCCCACATACCCACCACAGCCCGGTTGGCCCGGCACTTTTTTTAGAAAACAGTCTAGTTTACTCTTGAAGATGTCCATGGTTGTTCCGGCAATATTTCTTATAGTCGCTGGGAGGACGTTGAACAACCGCGGACCTCTGATGTTCATACAGTGTTCTCTGATGGTGCCTATGGCACCTCTGCTCTTCACTGGTTCTATTCTGCATTTTCTTCCATATCGTTCACTCCAATATGTTGTTATTTTACTGTGTAGATTTGGGACCTGGCCCTCCAGTGTTTTCCATGTGAATATTATTTGGTACCTCTCTCGTCTCCTTTCTAGTGAGTACATTTAGAGAGCTTTGAGACGATCCCAATAATTTAGGTGCTTTATTGCGTCTATGCGTGCCGTATATGTTCTCTGTATTCCCTCTATTTCAGCAATCTCTCCTGCTCTGAAGGGGGAAGTGAGTACTGAGCAGTACTCAAGACGGGACAACACAAGTGACTTGAAGAGTACAACCATTGACGGGATCCCTGGATTTGCTTGGTTATGCTCCCTAAATGTTAGGTCGTTGGACATCATTATTCCCAAATCCTTGACATGCTGTTTTCCTACTATGGGCAGATTCGATTGTTTTGTACCCTGTATTACGTTTCAAATCCTCATTTTTGCCATACCTGATCCTCATTTTTTTTTTTTTTTTTTTTTTTGCCTAAAGAACCAGCCAGAAAACAGGAAAAAATCTATCAAATTCCCTATGACCCCAGATGATATGGGTGCCACGCATAAAAAAAAAAATAAAAAAAAGCAGGCCGTTGAAGAGGAATGCCAGATGGCAGTATTGGGACCCAAAGGCAAAAATGTTGTCCTAGCCAGCAGGCTCCAGGCAAAACAGGTGTCCAGACTTCCACTTGTCATCAAGATTGAACCAGAAGTCACCCATTTATTTATTTACACCCATAAAATACTACTACTTTTTAATCAAAAGAAAAATAAGATAATTATCACGAGAAAGCATTAAGCCATTACGACTATACAGCACTTGGAAGAGATATAAGGATAAGGATTTGGGATGGGCATGGGAAAAGGAATGTGCCCAACCATTTGGATGGTCGGGGACTGAACGCCGACCTGCATTTCTACCGTGCACCCCTAGTGGCTGGACAAAAGATCAGAGAGAGAGAGAGGCTTTAACCTCACACAACATGACCCACAGTTGTACTAAATTACATGTGCATGCATTTGTAGTATGATTCCTTAATGACAAGAAGTGCCAATGCTAATACGCTCGATTTGCGATGTTCTTGGTACGTTACAGTTTAATTTTTTTGCCACTTAAAAACTTGATCATGTTGAAACAATAATCAATGTTAATCTAAAGAAGAATCTCCATGTAACGAAGAATCAATGTATGAGATAAATTTTATATGAAGCTTGTAGCTTTCAAAGTAATAAAGGTTAATCATGAGAAACTAACTTTATTTTGATTAGTTCAACCATTTGTACTGGATGGTTAAGAAATTAGTCTCGTCTGTTGCAGGTCAGCATTCAATTCCCGACCGTCCAAGTGGTTGGGCACCATTCCTTCCTCCCTGTCCCATCCCAAATCCTTATCCTTATATCCCTTCTAAGTGCTGTACAGTCGTAATGGCTTAACACTTTCTCCTGATAATACCACTTCCCCCTTTGGTCGCTTTTATGTCTGAAATGTCTTTGGGAGTGCCAGGCACCCGCACCTGGCACTCCTTCAGTTTAGTCAGCCTGGACAAGTGCCAAGCAACACGTTGCAAATCTCAGGAACAACTGGTGCTGGAGCTGCGACTTACCTTGATCAGCTCCTCAAGCCTTGCCTTTTCCTCGCAAATCTTTATTGAGAACTGTATTGGCTGCCCTTTGTTGTTAACAAAGAGTTCTGTCTCGCTTATTTCTTCATCATCAGACATGTTGTACGGTGTAGGAGGTAAGCCTACTGTTGTATGAGCGAGGCAGTGCGTATCCAGCCACACAGGCCGAGGCGATGGTGTTTACGCAGCATTTCTTAACACACAAACAATAACACAATTTAGTATCTAATCATAGCAAAAAACGTCTTAATATTATATTCGTACACTTTTACTAGATCTAGAGATTAAGTATGCTGAATTCTAATAGCATACAGCTTTTGAAATTCAAATTTGCACTTTATTAATAAATGCAAGTTTGGCGGGAACGCAGTTCAGACACTGTCTATGGTTGGGGACAGGAAGCCTGTTTGACTTATCGAGGTCCTCCTAGGCCAGCTACACCTTTATCAAGATGCAACCCGCAACAGCTAGCTAACTCAAGGGAACGTATTTACTACTAAGCTAACAGAGGCATCAGAAGAAAGGAAAAGTGCCAACACGTTTTTGTCCCGCCGCGAAAATTGAATCTGGAGCCCTGACAGTATTTCGTCCACATACCTGAATGCAACATATTTTATCATTAACAAGCTTAGGTATATACAGCAATGTGCTTCTACCCTATTATATATGAAAGATTACACAGTGTAGATCAAAAACTAGCTATGAGTTCATCTAATATCCCCATCTCACAGGACGGCAGCAGGTACGTTGTTACCTTTATTTAATTAACAATTAATGTTTCTAGTTACTTGTGGGAAATTCGAGGTTTTCTCGAATATAAGAGTACCAGTATTTGGCCATTGTTCCTTATTACTGCTAGAAGAACAGATCGGAGCATCGTTCATTATTACTATAAACAAGCTTAGGTATACACAGCAATGGGACTCCTGGTTCAACCTTGAAGACGAGCGGACGTCTGAACACCGCCTTCGCCTGGGAGCCGCCTGATCACGTTCTGTTTTCGTGTTTTAGCTTTGCTACTGCCGTTTGGCATCTCTGTTCAACGGGCCGGTTGTACGAGGCCTGGCGCACATATCGCCTTGGGTCACGGGAGTGTTGATAGATTTGTTTTGACGTGTTCTGGCTGGTTCTTTGGGTTGGGTGACGGTGTCCGGCGCAGGCTTGGCCGAGAGGTGCCGGGCGTTGGTGGGTCTTGGTGGGCTCCGTGTGGCCTCAGCCGGGTTTTATTATTATTATTATTATTATTATTATTATTATTATTATTATTATTATTATTATTATTATTATTATTATTATTATTATTATTATTATTATTATTATTATTATTATTATTATTATTATTATTATTATTATTATTATTATTATTATTATTATTATTATTATTATTATTATTATTATTATTATTATATATTATTATTATTATTATTATTATTATTATTATTATTATTATTATTATTATTATTATTATTATTATTATTATTATATATTATTATTATTATTATTATTATTATTATTATTATTATTATTATTATTATTATTATTATTATTATTATTATTATTATTATTATTATTATTATTATTATTATTATTATTATTATTATTATTATTATTATTATTATTATTATTATTATTATTATTATTATTATTATTATTATTATTATTATTATTATTATTATTATTATTATTATTATTATTATTATTATTATTATTATTATTATTTTTTTTTTTTTTTTTTTTTTTTTTTTTTTTTTTTTTTTCTACCACAGACGTGGCCACACATTTACAATGCTAACCAGCATATATACATTTTCTTCTGTCCTCCATGGACAGGGTTAGAGAAGTGTTAAACATATAGTTCAAGGGTTTATTGAACACTCAACCACAGAAGGTGATTCGGTGCTTTTAAAATGCTAAGCTAACCTACATACGTAAATACATAGATACACAATACAATAGGGGGGCCTCGTAGCCTGTGGATAGCGCGCAGGACTCGTAATTCTGTGGCGCGGGTTCGATTCCCGCACGAGGCAGAAACAAATGTTCAAAGTTTCTTTCACCCTAAGTGCCCCTGTTACCTAGCAGTAAATAGGTACCTGGGAGTTAGTCAGCTGTCACGGGCTGCTTCCTGGGGTGTGTGTGGTGTGGAAAAAAAAAGTAGTTAGTAAACAGTTGATTGACAGTTGAGAGGCGGGCCGAAAGAGCAAAGCTCAACCCCCGCAAAAACACAACTAGTAAACACACAGATTTACGTATGCCCTACATAAAGTGTTTGATGTGTCTTTTACATAGTGTCATTAATGTACATTCACAAAGGTGAAATGTAATTCTGATCAGCTTCCATATATACTTTATACCCATACATATACATACACACACACACATATACATACATATATACACACACATGCATTCACATACATTTGTCTCATTTACTCTGACAGGGTGAGATAGCTGATAAAGAAACTAGTGTGCAATTAAGCACTTAATCACTGAAGGTGCTTTTACAAGCTCAGGTTATATAGTTACATCATATATATACATTGTATAATTGATATATTACATGGTCAATCTTGGATACAAGTCCAATATATCATCAAGTGTTCCAGTACTCATATAGTAATTACACAGTTCAGCATACCTTAGCCCAGGAGGGCGAAAGTCAGTCAATATGGGACATTCTACAATATAATGTTCAAGAGAGTGCATGTTTTCTCTTTCACAAAGTTGACACATTGTGTACTCGACATTTGAGGTTTGAGAAAGCTGCCAGATACGTCTATATCCCAGGCGTATTCTGGCCACTATAACATCACATTGCCGGGTTCTTGTTCTATTAGTCCCATATGTGAATGTCTCCTCACGATATCTATCATAATATTTAATGCTACAACTTTCAGGTCTTTGTGAATTTGTTAGGTCGGTGAGATTTCCATTAGATATTTGTTTAAGTATTCTCTTTGTCACTGCTAATGAAACGCCCATATCAATTTCTACCCCTGGTTTTCTGCAGGCTGTCTTAGCAAGCATATCAACAGTGTCATGCCTTGAGATGCCAACATGTGATGGTATCCATAGGAATTTAATCTCAAATCTGTTTTCTTTAGCAGCTAAAACATTCATTCGAATATCACTGACTATTTTCTGGGTGTCACTACTATGAGCGTTCAATGCCAGGAGTGCACTCTGCGAGTCACAGTATATAAGTCCACTGCCTTTGTCTTTTAAAAATTCAGTGGCAAGGTATATGCCTGCAAGTTCGGTTTGAGTCGTACTTGCCCAGTCATTGACGCGCTTCATTGCTGTATGTACGAGAGAAGATTGTTCAAATATGTTACATGCACATCCGGTACATCGTCCACCTCCTTCTACAGAGCCGTCGGTATAGCACTGATACACATCGTTACCCATACTCTGAGTACTTTCAGTGATGCTTTTCAGTGTTAACTGTTTTAATAATGTAGTGTGCACACTATTTTTCTTGGGCGCATTTACAAAATCAACTGATAGATCCCAGTTATCCCATGGAGTAATTGGTTGATTAATCATTAGTTGAGTTGGGTACATATTTAATATTTTGATGGCGTTGGCTACCTTGTAGAACCAATATACATAATCAGATTTCGTTCTTCTATAGACCTCAGGTGAGTGCAGCATATTAGAAAGTTTAGCTTGAAACTTCATGTGTTGTCTAGATCTACTCAATGCCTTCACGCCGAAAACTGTGCTAATAGACAAAATTCTCTCACTTATGGTAGGTAATTTTAACTCTGCTCTCATATTAACTATTCTCGTGGACTTTGGAGCCCCAAGGATGAGACGCATAGCTTCATTTTGCAAGGTTTCAAGAGAATTCAGCTCTTTGTCAGTATACAGTGTGAGATGTAGAGCATTGTAGTCAATCACAGAGCGTATAAATGATACATAAAACATTCTAGCAAGTCTCACGTTAAGTCCATGATTACACCAACAAGGACCCGCAAGGGCTTTAATCTCTCCCAAAGTCTCCTCTTGAGAGAAGAAAGGTACCCAGGGTCGTTAATGGGGACACCAAGGTATCTGTAAGACTCGCAGTTCTCAAGTACTCGCCCATCTATATGATAATTGACTGGTGGAATACCACATGGAATGAGGGCACGAGCTTTCTGTACAGAGATAAAGAGCCACATTCCTCAGCTCTAGTAGCAAAAGCGTCGAGCAGAACTTGCATTCTAGGCTCGGTGGCAGCTTGTAAACATATATCATCAGCATAACAAATGACAGTGTCTTCATTATTAGTTGGAAGATCTTTATTAAGTTTATGCATCAGAACGTTGAACAACAAGGGGCTGAGGACCCCTCCTTGTGGAGTTCCCAGTTCAAAGTGTTTGCTCTCTGTGCTTTTAACACCATTAAACAAAACATATGCTGTTCGATTAGACAAATAGCCCTTTATCCATTTCAGTAATTTTCCTTGTATTCCCAGCTCGGCAAGCTGTTCAAGTATGATTTCTCTGTTTGCTGTATCAAAAGCTGCTGCTAGGTCGATGAAGACTGTTTGAGTGGAAGCTTCAATATGTGCGAAGTACTCGGCAAAACAGTGTTGTGTACTGAGCCCAGGCATAAATCCAAACAGTTGGGGTGACAGGTGCCCCTGTATACGATACATGAGTCGGTTAAGAACAATACGTTCAAGTACTTTACAGACACACGATGTTAGAGATATGGCTATATAATTATCTGAGTGTGGTTTGGGGATGGGAACAATGACACTCTTTGTCCAAGCATCAGGTAATACTCCTTCACGTAAACTCATTCTTTACAACACTAATAGTGGATTACCTGGTACGTGTGAGACTAATCTCAGTAGACTGTAAGTAATACCATCCTCTCCAGGAGCAGTTGATTTTCCCATCTTTAGTGCATGATTTAATTCCCATTCAGTTACATCATTAAGGTCCGACACGTCGATAGCTGTACAGGCAAGATTGATGGTTCGTTGTCTGTTGGGGCGTGTCATCAAGTTTGTGCTGTATGTTAATTGGGAGTGAGTCGTAGCTCGATGTTATTGCCCATTGATCAAGGAGGATGTTTGCTTGTTCTAGTGGGCTGTGGTGCAGCGGTTTGGTTGGGCTGCTTCTAGAGATTTTTCGTATCTTTTCCCAAACTTCGGCATTTTCTGCTCTGCCGGAGAACACTGATTGATTGATTGATGAAGATTAAGTCACCCA